TACAAGTCCAGGAAGCCCGCAGAACCCCAAACAAAAGGAATCCAAGGAGGACCACACCAAGACACATCATAATTAAAATTCTAAGAGCAAAAGACAAAGAGAATATTAAAAGCAGCAAGAGAAAAGCAGGTAGTTACCTACAAAGGAACACCCATTTGATTGTTAGCTGATTTCTCAACAGAAACCATGCAGGCCAGATGGGAATGGCAAGAAATATTCAAGGTGATGAATAGCAAGAACCTACAGCCAAAAATAATCTACCCAGCAAAGCTATCACTCAGAATCAAAGGACAGTTAAAGAGCTTCACAAATAAAAAAAAGCTAAAAGAGTTCATCACTGCCAAACCAGAATTATATGAATTGCTGAAGGAGGTTATTTAGGAAGAGGAAGAAGATAAAGATAAAAATTATGATAAAAAAAATACATAACTATCAACTAGTGAATCTAAAAACCAAGGGAATTAAAAAAAAATCTGATGAACAATATTAACTGTTGAATATAATAGAATCAGAGATATGGAAGGGGAATGGACTGACGATTCTCGGGGAAAAGAGGAGTGGGGGTGCAGGAAGAGACTGAACAAAAACTCTGCACCTATGGATGAGAACAATGGGGGATGGGGAAAGGACAGAGGGTGGGGTGGGAACCTGGTGGAGGGGAGCAATTGAGGGGGGGAAGAGGATCACATTTGAAATACTCTGAACAATAAAGATTTATTTAAAAATAAAAAAATATAAAAAATTCAAAAAATTTCAGGCAGAGTTTAAAGTTCTGATCATGTTAAAAACATTACAGTACAGTTAATGTGATGCTTAAAGATTTGGAATTATTACAGTGATATCTGTTAATTAGACATAAATGCTTTCATTCCCAAAAATGGTAATAATGACTGGGCAGGGCTGGAAGTGTCTCAGAGACTGCTCTGAAGAGGGCGGGGTGTTACTATTTGATGTCCAGAGGGAAGGGGTCTGGACGAGGAAGGCAAGATCTCTGTGAGCCCCGGATGTCTGCTTTAGAAAAATGACTGGGCAGAATGCTTTCCCTTCAAAGCCTATCTGCATGCAGTCCTGAGCCTGAAGCCAACATTTGAGGTTCTTCAGTCCTTGTCAAAAAAAAAGAAGTGTCACCCAGTACTGGAGCGGGACCCCCACTTTCTCCAGCCTCCAGTTCAAGGACATCTGCACTCTTCCTGCCCCTCTCCCAACTATTGGCTCTAAACTAGAGGAACCTCGGCAAGAGGGCAAGCACATAGGGTGCCCACCAGGCGCTGGGCAGAGCCTTCCTGCCTGCCTGCTGGCTGGGCCTTTCTTTCTTCTGCTTGGTGTCTCTTTTGTGGGTTTCATTCGTTTTCCTGTTGGCTTTTGGAGTTATTTCAGAGGCAGACAGTCGTGACCATGAGTGACAGCTCTCTCAGCAGATATCAATCTGAATTCTGGGCTTCCAATCAAATATTCAGAAAAGGGCATTGACCCTTTGAAAGATGAAAAGTAAACAGAATCTCATCCTGGGGAGCAAACATACTTCAGATTATGTAAACTGAATTTATTTATTTATTTATTTATTAATATATTTATTTTTATTAAATTATTATTTTTGTACTTATACCAATGCCCCCTACTCCTGTACATACCCTCCCTCCCCAGGTTTTATGTCCATTAGTTGTACTTATATGCATGTATACAAGTCCTTCCGTTGATCTCTTATCTCCCCCAGATCTCCCCAACCTCCCTGCTGTAATTTGACAGTCTGCTTGTTGCTTTACTGTCTCTATATCTATCTTTTGGTTCTTCAGTTTATAATGTTCTTTATCATCCATATATAAGTGAGGTCATGTGGTGTCTCTCTTTCATTGACTGGCTTGTTTCACTCAGCATGATGTTCTCCAATTCCATCCAGGTTGCTGCAAATGATGAGAATTCCTTCTTTTTATGGGAGCATAGTATTCCATTGTGTAAATGTACCATAGTTTTTGGATCCAATCATCTGCTGATGGGCACCTAAGCTGTTTCCAAATCCTAGCTATTGTAGATTGTGCTGCTATGAACATAGAGGTGCATATATCCTTTCTGATTGATGTTTCTAGCATCTTGGGATATATTCCTAGGAGTGGGATATTACTGGGTCAAATGGGAGTTCCATTTTCAGTTTTTTGAGGAAGCTCCATACTGTTCTCCACAGTGGTTGCACCAGTCTACATTCCCATCAGCAGTGCACGAGGGTTCCTTTTTCTCCGCAACCTCGCCAACACTTGTCGTTTGTTGATTTGTTGATCTTGGCTATTCTGACAGGTGTGAGATGGTACCGCATTGTTGTTTTGATTTGCATTTCTTGGATAATTAGTGACTTTGAGCATGTTTTCATGTGCCTCTTGGCCCTCCTTCTGTCTTCTTTTGAGAAGATTCTATTTAGATCCATTGCCCATTTTTTAATTGGGTCATTTATCTTCCTCTTATTAAGTTGTATAAGCTGTCTGTAGATGTGGGAGATTAAACCTTTATCAGTGATATCATTTGCAAATATTGTAAACTGAATTTTTAAAGAGGACAGGAGAGTCAGTGGTTCCAACAACTTTAATGAGTGAATTTTAGGCAAAAGCACAGAAAACAAATAGGATGGAATATCAAAGTTGTCCTTGTAACATCCAATTCCTATGAATCTACTCCCACCCTGAGACTGTCTGTCTCAGTCATTTTAGCAATTATAAACTTCGAACTGTTTTTCCCTACAATATGAAAGGTTTTCATCTATTGGTAAGAATGTATACCCATGTCCTTATAAGTATTTCTTTTCCTTTCATACCTTCTCAATGCAACACTAAGAAAACATGCTTGCCCAGTAGAAAGAGATCACATTTCTTCTTCCTTCCAAATCATTTGACCACTCTGTATTTACATTTCTGGTCCTTTGTTAGTAGGTTTTAATCAGTGTCCTTTAAAACTTTGCTACACAAAGTATAATCCATAGACCAACAGCATCCACATCACATGGCAGCACGTCTGAAAACCAGATACTCCAGTCTTCCCCAGACCTACCTAACTAGAATTTGCACTCCCCAGGAGTCACACTGCAGTGAGAGACCTGTCTCAAGAGATGGTATAAGCCCTGACCAGTGTTTCTCGGTGGTTAGAGTGTCAGCCCATGCACATTGAAGGGTCTTGGATGGGATTCCCAGGCAAGGCATGTACACCTGGGTTGCAGGTTCGACCCCCTGTCCCCATCAGCGTGCGTACATAAGGCAACCAATAGATGTGTCTCTCTCACAGCAATGTTTCTCTCTCTTTCCCCCTCCCTCCATCTCTTCCACTTTCTCTAAAAATCAATGGAAAAATATCCTTGGTGAGGATTAACAACAACAACCAAATAATGGTGTGAATCTGACAACTCTGTAATCTACCGAAAAGCAAATACTTTTGCAATTAAAACTTAAATACAACAGGACATCAGTGGGCATATACAATACTGCTGATACACAGAAGCATGCTTACTTAGTGTAGACCTGTTACAAGGCTTTGCATGGAGTAGTTCCAGACTCTTCACTACAGACAGAGTAGGTGCCATCCTCCTCAGCTTGATAACATACAGAGGCCCAGAGAGCTTGGGCAACACCACAAAGCAAACCAATGGAAGAGGCAGGACTTGCACTAGAGGGCATGTTTCTAACCATTACACTGTACCCCTCTCAACAGTGTGCACCTACTCTGGAACCCATGCAGTTCATTCAGGATCTCAAAGAAAGAGCCAGATTGCTCAAGGAACATTATTTTAGTCTCAGCAACATTTGGAAGCAGAGGCCAATTGAGCCACAAACTCTAATGGAACTCCCTTATGTCTTCTCGGAGGAAGGGGAGGCTCAGAGGGAATGTGTGAAACCCAGTGGTTTTTTTGAAGGAGTGGAAAAGTGGAGGCCAGAAGGTTTAGGCCTCCACTATACTTGCAACCATGCTCTCTGCCTCGCCTACACAGATTTCTAATTCTTTGGGGGGTTTGCTCTTCCAAAGACACCTCACACACATTAGACAGCAAACAACTTTTTCTTTTCTTAACTTTCATTCACAGTCTGAGACTATCCAGATAAGTTATTTTGTATCCTATTTGAAACCTAATAAAAATACTGAGAAGGGAGGCCGGGCTAAGAAAATACACTTGAATAGCTCTAATATGAAATACTGTAGCAATTTACCTGTCAGGTAGAACAGGAACCTTCGGATGTGATAGCCAACCAGTCCTCCAGCTTTTGAGCTTTAATTAAGGTAGACTCTCAGTCTGGGCTCCAAACAGTCATTTACCTGCTCCGCTCCACCTATTATATTAACCGATGAAAGAGGAGTGGCATTCTGGACCCAAATTATTATGGCTGTGGGATTTGTGCCATCTCATCTAAGATGCCTATTTTTAACCAAATGATGCTTTCTGTCTAAGGTTAGCATCCCACAGGGATTCTCTCAGGCTCAGAAAGTTTGCAGAATGTGTGGCTGGGAGTTCCTGGGACAGACTTCAGAAGTCCAAAGAGGCTGAAAACTCTTCCTGTTTAAAGCACAACTTCTGTTGTAAAGGGCATGAGACAATTTACATTTGGAAGCCTGCCCCATCTGGTAGGAGGCAAGATAAACTACATCATGCCCTTAAAATGCCACAGGGTGCTGATAGTTTCTGGACTGACCCACCAGTGGCTGTTCCATAAGCTTCATGCCAGAAGGAGGAAGGAGTACCAGACACAATGAACACAGATCAGTGTCCCTTTTGAAGCAAGCAGTGTAAACATAAATCACTTAAGAATTGAAATACCAGATTGAGACATGGTGATTCCCAAAGATAAAAAACACAGAGCTGACCAAACAGTCCCATCTCCTCCCACTTCTCTCAGAGCTTATGTCCAGGAGCCCATGGGCCAGGGTGGGGGGTTTGGGGTGTGTGGGAGGAGGTAGCAAACCACAGCCTGGCAGTCAGACCTCAAACAGCCCAAGCATCCACCCTGATACTTCAGTCCCGGGGCACTTACCTTGCATTGCCCAGACACGCAGATGGCCGAGCCATTCTGGTCGCAGGGGGTGCCATCAATGACCTTCTCAGCTTGCCGTACATAGAAGCGATAGCCCATTGCCTGGCAGTTCAACTCACACTTTCGATTGCCCTTTACTACAAAAAAATAAAATCAAATTAAAATTAAAAAACAGGTTCTTTTTTCTTTCTGTATTTTTTAATGAGATATAAAATTAACCATTTTAACCAAAGTGTAAAGCTCAGCATTTTTTATTATGTTCACAATGTTGTTCAACCATTAGCACAAATTCCAGACTATTTCCATTGCCCTACCAATCTATTTTCTGTTTCTATGGATTTGCCTATGCTTGATGTTTTATAACCAAATACTTTAAAATTGCGTGAGTATTATTAGATCTATTCATATTTGATGGTAGAGGGAAGGTATTGCAGTCTGATCTGCTGGCATATAATAGAGACTTGATGTTGAGTGAGTATAAGAAAGGAATTCTTAAAGAATTTCACCATGCAAATAATAGATTCTTTTAGACATCGATACTTTGCTATAGTCATAATTATATTTTATATATCAACAATAATAGAGAGCACACATTTTATTGTTCTAATATTTTTTAACTTAAACTCTATGCAGTTATACTATATTTATGTTGTTTTGGCTGGAGATTCCTGTAATAATTCCTTAATGATGAAATATTTCAGTGATTTCCCCATTACCTTAGGTTGAGGCCCAAACTCCTAGGAAAGGAATAAAACATCTTTCAAACATAAATAGTCCTATTTCCAACTGTTCTCCCTCAAATCTATGTTCTGTACAACTAAGCACATCCTCTGTCCAGCCTCTGCTTCACTGCTTCTTCTGCCTCTGCCTCACTCGGTTAGCACTATATCTACTGTGCTTTTGTTCCGAGATCATATCCTCCAGGAAGCCATTCCTGGACCCCGACCTCACCTATACATCCGCCTTTCGCAGACTGATCTGACCTTTTTTGCTTCAGGATTAACCAAGCTTTATTGAAGCATAGTCATGAGGGACAACAGGGATGTGTCTGTCTTATTCACTTTTGAATCCCCAGCACTCAGTCCAGAGCTGGGTGCATAGAAAATATTCAACAAATCCCTGAGGGCTTGGCCGGCATGGCTCTGTGGTTTGAGTGTCAACTTATGAACATGGTTCAATTCCCTGTCAAGGCACATGCCCGGGTTGCAGGCTCGATCCCACAGCCATTCAATGATTCTCTCTCATCATTTATGTTTCTATCTCTCCCTCTTCCTTACTCTCTGAAATCAATAAAAATATATATATATTTTAAAAATCTCTGAGGAATAAAAGAAGGGACGGATAAATGAATACTGGTTTTTCCCCCCCTTTGTCTTTCTCTCTGTATTCTCCTACTTCTGAGATCACTTCAAACAAAGCCTGACACACAGTAGGTGCTCAATAAAGGCTAAATTAATTGCCACTACAACTAATATCTCCAGAGCAATTTTGTTGCCTTTAAAATAAGAATGAGAAAAAATTTCAGGCAAGATATACATTCATATCTAAAAGAGACAGACAAGCCAAGTACACACTGATTTTTTTAAAACTGATTTTGCAGACAAAGAAATGCTGTGCTCAGCCATAGACAGCATATTCCAAGGTTATGCTTTTGTCTGAAAATCTGATTACTGGATTGGATAATACTGACTTTTGCCTACACAATGGTTGAATAATCATATTTCCCCCTGTGTGACTGCCTGATTATCATAGCAGTGAACTTCCTTGTCCTCCATAGCCACTTAAAACCACTACCAGGAAATAACACGGAGCCTCTGGGTTATTTGGGAAGATTGAATCTTTTATATACCCTAAGCTCTATCTTAGAAGTCAAGTGGCTTGATTTCTTACCCTGGCTGACCAAAAGATATGAGGTAACCTTGAAAAAAAAATCACAGAATCAGATACCTCTGGGAATTATCTAAAACTAAAATATAACATCATTTTATATTAAAAACAAAACAAAACCAAAGAAGCCCTAAACAAATGAAGTGACAGGTTGAAGGTAAAACTAGTCTCCTAGAATTTGCTTTCTCATGTCTTCTATCTATATCCAGATCATGCATCCTCTCTTCCCAGATCCTCACTTTCTAAACTGACAGCAGGAAGTATCCAGGTGACTGTATTTTAAGTAATAAAAGTGTCTGAAAGGCAGTTTCTTATGGGGCAAGGGTTTTGAGTTTTCACCTACCTCTCTTTTGACTTCCTCCCAACAACCTCTATCCTTTGCAGCCCAATTTTATTTCTCAATATTTACAATCAAACCACAGAAGAACATTCTGAGAATAATAACAACAACAAAAATGGTTAAAGGCGAGATAATTGTGGCAGCATCTCCAAATGGCTACATGAAAATAACCCGGAGGAATGACCTTAAGTTTGGGTTCCTATCTGTGGCCCAAAGGAGCCACTCAGTGAGACCCTCTGCCTGAGTGACTTAGACAGTGCCCCTGCCTTCTCAGACTTGCAACAAGGGGAGGAGGGGTCCTAGGAGATAACAAAGTGTGCACAAGTGCCTCCCTAATGAAACTGCCCAAAACCTATTGCCTTAGCAACATTCAACCAGTACTACTCATAAAGTTACACAAGGACTGACTTCTCCAGACCCTGAACTACTCCCCAACCACTTTAACATTTCACATAAAACTACATTTGAAGGGCTTCAGTTTAAGGTTTTTCATGGAGTGTCACTTCATTCCCTTTTTTCCCTTTAATGCAGCTATAATTCTGATGCCAGGAGCTGTTTCTCTAAGCACTTTTTTAAAAAAAGTGATATCCGAGAAGAATAGAGAGATAGAAACATTGGTCAGATGAGAGAGAATCATTGATCAGCTGCCTTCTGCATGCCCCAAACTGGGGATGGAGGCTGCAACCCAGGCATGTGCCCTGACTGGAATCAAACCATGACCTCCTGGTTCATAGGTGTTGACTCAACCTCTAAGCAAATTCTGCCATGATTTTATTTTGTCATGGATAAAACAGAAGCATAGCCACAAGCTGGGTGCAATGGGAAAGAGCTAGTGGGCACATCCCTTTCCTCCCTGTTTATCCCTCTCTTATTCCTCTCCCTCTCTGTTCTCATCTGCTTCCTAAATGTTCTCCCCACCCACAAGGGAGTACCTTTAACTTTCACACATTCAGATAGTGATCCCCAGTGTAGGACCAGAGGCAGCAGCATCACCTGAAAGCCTATGAACCTAAAGCAGTCATATTTTTGTGCAAAAAAAAAATAAAATTTAAAGTTATCAAGACTGCATTATAAAATTTACAAAAGCCTCCATTAATAAAAAAAAAAAAAAGGCGGGGGGGGAATAGTAGGGTAATATCATGTAAGGAAAAATATCCTATACATAAATTACATCTAGAAAATTTTTACTTTACAAAATTAATTTTCATTTGTAATGCTAATAACAAGACACCCATGAAAAACACACATGATATCTAAATAAGACAAAGGAAAAATGTTAGGGCAAAAATAAAAACGATCCCAAATCAATTATATAGAAAAGATTCCTTTATTAACTTTTGATGGAGAATATGTTTGTATATTTTCAGAAAACAACTCCAAGACCAGGTGGATTCCTACAAGAGAGAGGAATTGACAGATTTGTTCTGACGATAAAGATAAGAAATGGGAGTCCAGAGATGATGACACCTTGCCATGCTAGCAGTCAGCAGCTGGGTGTCGCTGCAGGTTGCCTAGGACCAAACCAGAGAGGGTTGGACCTGCATTGCCACCATGTGCCCACCATCTAGATATCATGGCTGACATGTACACATAAGGAACTGTTTGACATTGAAATGGGGACTCAAAACTGTTGGATATTGAAATTGGGACTCAAACATTTTTTTTTTGTGTGTGTAATTATATGATTATTTCTAGTCTGCAGTGGCAAGATTAAAAAAAAAAAAAGAAATGGGGAAAAAATAGATACAGAGGCAAAGAAACATTGAAGAGACTGCCAAACTACAGTGGGAAGGCAGGGGAGGTTTGGGGGTGGGGGGAAGGGCTATAAGAGATAAACTGAAGGACTTGTAGCATGCATATAAGCATAATCAATGGATACAACACACTGGAGGGAGGGAGGACAAGTGAGGGCATGTATTGGGGGTAGGGGAAGTTGGGAGGGAGGTCAAAGGGGGAAAAAGGAACATATGTACCACTAGTAATACTTCAAATGATAATATATATATATATATATATATATATATATATATATATATATAATCTTAAAAAATAAAATAAAATAATAATAAAAATAAAAAATAAAAGAAAATACAAATTATTAGGCCTCACCTCCAACTTCTAAAGCAGAAGCTCTGGGGATGATGCTGGGTGACCTGCGTTTTAACAAACTCTCCTGGTGATTCTGGTGCTTAGTCAAGTTTGGGACTCACTGTTCCAAGGAAAATCAAGCAGTGAAAAGATTTGGAAGCAGCTAATAATTCTTATTTTGAATCCATAATGTTCTAATTCCACATCTAAATTTAAAAGATAATGTCAGCACCATCTTTAATTAACTTTAGGACATTGCCAAATATCTGGATCCCTGATAATAAAAAAGATCTCTGGTTATTTTTTTAAATGCTAGAGAATATATAAGTAACTTCAGTTATTTAAAATAAAGTAGCTAATAGCTAAAGGGTTTACCATCAAATACAGGTTAAACATCTAAATACTCATTGAGCTCTGTTCTTTTGGAAAAACTACTGAGTAAAGACATTCTTTTTCATGTGTGAAAAAAAAAAAAGAAAAAAAAGAAAAGAAAATAGAAAAGGAGGAAACAGTCACAACATTTTGGAAGGTGGAAACAGAAAAACCCACGGTAATGACTCAGCAAACCCAACCAAACTAATTCTAGGCAGGAATTGAAGCACCAGATCTACCTATATGATAGCATTTCTAAACAGCAACTTTGGTAATAAAGGAGAATGCAGGCTTAAAAACAGAGAAATTTTAGGAGTGTTCAAGAGGCAGTTCAGAGGTTTCACTTTCCAGAATGGTTGACTAAAGCCTCTAAAAATGGACTCTGTCACAAAAGCAATGACAACACTGGCAAAAAGCAGCTGAAGTGGCTAGTAATAATAGACAAAACAG